ATCCAGACTCTATTTGATGAAGGGCACTGTGACTCTCCTGATTTTATAGGCTTAGGCCACATTGGTGCCATGTCTCTCTCCCACCCATGGTTTGCATCCATTCATTGCTTTATGACTTGAATATATGGGAATTGGAATGATGATGGTAGGGGATGAAGGTGGAGGATCCCTGGTCTTTCCTTGCGTGTTACATTGCATAACTTACGTATTCTATAGCTTACCAACATGGCTGCATTTGCTTTGTATACTACCTTTAATTGTTCTGCAATTCTGCATTAATGCAGATCCATTCCTTAAAAACAACAAATCTGCACCACTATAACAGAGGAATCCTGTTGAGTTTAATAGTGCTGTTAACTCCCATGCTTTTGCTATGTTGCTTCTTCTGATATGCAAAATAACATTTTTCTTGTTGCTACAGCATCACATTGCTGGCTTGTGTTCAGTTTGTGTTCCACTATAAATCACATCTCCTTCGCAGCAGTGATTTTTCCCTAGCCAATTATCTCCCACTTTGTATGTGTGTGTTTGAATTCTTTCCTAGATTTCCCACTGTTGAATGTTAGTGGCATTTCTTTCTGTTCTCCTAAGCATTTAAAGGCTTTCAAATATTTTATGATCTTAAAGATGCAGAACTATACTCTCACTCAAATCCCTTATTAAAATATTGAACAGCAGTACCAGACTGAGGATGGGATACAAAGTATGTCATTCACATAAAATCAGAACTGTAAGTTAGGATTCAAATCCTCAAAGGGACCAGGAGCTGGGGACAGGGTGTAGCTCAGCACATGGTTTGTATGCAAAAGGCCCCAGGTTCAATGCTTGGCATCTACAGATAGACCTGGAAGACAGGTATTCTGTCTTGGGGTTGTGGTGGATGGAAACCTGGAGCTCAGCAGCTGTGCAATATAGACAATAGTTCCTGTGGCCAAAGAACTGCAGGAAAAGACTAGCCAGACCAGCAAGGAAATCTTTTCATAACAATATGCCAGAGCGGGTCATGTAACACTCCCTGATCCCTGCACAATTGTCTAGCTAATGCTTATTCATTGAGCAGCAAGGTGACCTTGCTGTAGTTTCCCATAATAGACCACCCACACCCTTCTTCAAGTCTGCTAGTTTCTCCCCTACTTTTGATTAGAGACATTTTAATGATTGATCCATTGCACTAAAATGAAGCCGTACATACTTTTCCTAAAGAGCACCAGAAACCAATACTCATCTAAACTTTCATGGCAAATCCAAGAGACAACATTGCACCACCTTTCTGAACAGTTTGATCCAGTGTGTAGGAAGTTCTCCTAACTTTGCCAACCTGGTGCCCCAGCTTATGGAGGTAGTAGCCCAAACCACATGGAGGACACCAGGTTGATCCAGATTCTAGATCAACCTTCCTGTAGTTTAAACACATTGGGTTGGATCTAAAGATTCCCTTCCTCCAATGAAAATAGTCCTTCTATCAAAGGAAGACCCCTTCCATTGGAGGATGCTTTGCCTATCTGAGTGAAGGAACCTTCCGAACCTCTTCTATATTTGACAGGCTTTCAGTTTGGCATAATTTCATTAACAGTTAGAAGAAGAAGAGTTCAGATTTGATATCCCGCTTTATCACTACCCTAAGGAGTCTCAAAGCAGCTAACAATCTCCTTTTCTCTTCTTCCCCCACAACAAATACTCTGTGAGGTGAGTGAGGCTGAGAGACTTCAGAGAAGTGTGACTAGCCCAAGGTCACCCAGCAGCTGCATGTGGAGGAGCGGGGACGCGAACCCGGTTCACCAAATCACAAGTCCACCACTCTTAACCACTACACCACACTGGCTTCTTACAGACTTTGAAACAATTTTGCCTTAAGTCTAGATCTAACCCATGATTATTATATATTAAAAATGTTATCTCCATGGTTGTAGAATTTAAATCATGCAGGTTGTCCAATGTTTCTTTTCACTCTGTTGATACATCAATATGTAAATCCTCTGAAAAACCTTCAATATGTCAATTTACGTGGCCACCAAACATTATGGCTTTAGAAACTCTGTGATATAATGTTTCAGTTTTGATGTTACTAATGGTATCACAGGTTTGAGAGGCATAATGTTGGCTGCTATGGTCCATGGCTAGATGAAGCATCTTGCTATGAAGCAAGTGTTGCTATGAATGGTGTTCCATGCACCAGAAGCGGTTTAGTAATGCTGGCCACATGAACTGAAAAAGCTGTCTGTGGCAGGGGGTTGGACTGGATGAGCCTCATGGTCTATTCCAACTCTACTATTCTACGATTCTATAAATTGTGGGAACAACAGCCAGTTTGCATTGCTTCTAAGATACATGCACATAAAGAATTGTTGGAGTACTTCACTCTGGCTGTACTAGATAGGTCACACAGAAACACAAGAATCTGCCTTATACTGAGCCAGACCACTGCTCCACCTACTTCAGTACTGTCTGTGTGGGATGTATTATTGCCAGAGCAGTCAAGTACATCATTTTCCTGTTGCGTAGAATGGACACATAGGGGAATGTGGTTCCAGACAGGGAGGACTTCCTGTCATACCTGCTCTGGAGCTTCCTCCCCGTGTGTGTGACCAGGTAGGTGGCCGTGAACCTAGTTGACCAGATAAAAGGGCTGGCTAAACGACCATCTCTCTCTTGGACTCTTACTCTCTTACTCTTGGACTCTTGCTCTCCTGGCTCTTAGCCAGTGCATGGCTCAACCTTCACATAGGATGGAGGCCACAAGCAGAAAATCTGAGATAGCTCGGACTTCTTTTCACTGTAACCACAAAATAAAGCCTGCCTTCAGATTACTGCTGTGAACTGAATGTGAACAAAACTTTATTCTTACTTTTAAAGAAGGCTGTGTTGTGTTGTTATTATTTTAAGAGGGAAATAAAGGGGAAATTTACGAGGAACAATCCAGACTGGACAATCCAGACTGGATTGCTTAATTAAAGGGTTCTAATGAATCATCAACTTGCTTCCAATAAGTTGCAAAGGGAATGTACGCTGCTGTTTACTCACTAGCGTGAGTGAGGAGGGGTAATATAAAAACAATATATCATCCCCTACCTTCCTTAACATTCCCACAGTCTGCACTGACTGGCAGTGGCCCTCTGGGGTTTCAGATTAGAGACTCTCTTACCGCACCAGGAGGTGTCAGGGATGAAGTCTGGAACCCCCTGTGATGCAAAGCAGATTCTCTACTGCGGAGTTACAGTCCTTCCCCTCGATGCCCAGGTGTGTGTATTTATGAACACCTGGCTGTTTAAATGGAAGCGCAATTTGGCTATATGGCTACCCAGTCACACATTATTATTATTTTTACAGTTTGCCAGCTGATAGTGACATGGCTGATGACATGGCTCAAGGAAAAGCAGCATGGATTTATACATGCAGAAATGTTGATGATCCTGCTCCACAAATAAACATTAGGTTGCTGCTGCTGCTTTACCCAAGTTCAAGCATAAAAATGAAAACAGGGGACTTGTTTCCATGAGATGAAATAATCAGTACATACTGTTGAATCCTATAGGCCCAGCTTGATTGATAAAGGTAAGGTTGGCAGAAACCTTTTGTTTCTCTCGAGGCAAAATCTCTTATTTAGAAAGACCGTAGCAGGCAGTATATCGCATTGTAAGCATGCTGGAAAGCAGGAGGGCTCATTGGTAGTTAAAAGGATTCAGGCCACAGTCTCATAATAGCACAAATTTGCATATGCTAATTTATATGTATAGATGACTCTGGGAAATTAAGGAGGTGGGTGGCCGAGGGCTCACTAGTGCCTCACTTTGCAGAGTGCTCAGCTGTCTTATAAGCAGTTTCTTTTCTTTTAAAGTTTTCTAAAAAGTGGGGGGAATGTGTGTGTGTGAGAGAACCTAGACTTGTCACAGGGGCTTGGTACTCCTAACATCCCTGGTGGAGAAGGTGGGATTCTGAACAGAGTTCAAAAGTTATTAAGAAAGTTAGGCGTGTGGGTGCCTTGGATACTGCATCCTCAAACAGGAGTGCACAGTCACTGTCACCTTACAGAGAGAGAGAGAGAGAGAAAGAGAGAGAGAGCTCCAGCTCCTGTACATTTCCCCCCTCTCCTGTAATACAATACTAGGATGACTCAGCTCACCTTTAATTCTTAGGATGCTTATTTCACAATCAGGTGGGCAACTGTTTATTCTTTACTTCTGATGCACTGAAGGTAAGAGTTATCAGGTGGAGGGGTGTGTGGAAAGGTTAAGGAGACCAGTTTAGCCCCCCTCCCCTAAGTAACTGAAAATAGCATCTTTTGCTTCCTTAGCGCCTCTCTCTCTCTCTCTCTCTCTCTCTCTCCCACACACACACACACACACACACATCTTGGCTTCAGTTGTACCACTAGCTCGCGATCCTGCCCCTCACCCCTTACCAAGGGGATTCCTCCACAAGGCCAGATTAATAATTTATTCCCCGGCTCCAGCAGTCACTTAGGCTCGCATTGATTTCCTTGTGCTGCATTTCCTCCCGTTCATCGGATCCTCCCCCCCCCCCCGCGCTTCACCCACCCGGGTTCACCCATCTCTCGGATCTTGCCTCGCCGCAGCCGAGAGAGCGAGGGAGCCTCCGCCGAGCACACCATGCTTGCCGGCGGCCCGCGCGGCGACGCGCTTCGCGGGGAGCTCCGGAGGCCCTTCCGCCCGCGCGGACTGCTGACCTGAAGGGCCGAGGGGGCGCCCGCAGGTTGGCTCCTCGTCAGCGCGATGCAGGAGGGCAGAGCGGCAGGGAGCGACCTTGCGCGCCTTCCTCGCCCTCCTCGCCGCCGCCGCCGCCCTCCCTCCTCCCGCTCCTCCCTCCCGCGCTGCGCCTTGGAAGTGCCGCGGGTGGAAGAGGTGAAGCGATCCCCTCAGCCCTTCATCGCCGGGGCCGCGTTAACCGGGGCTTGTCACGCAGGAGCGCGCTGCCTGAAACTGACCAGGTCTCTTCCTCCGGCGGCGGCGGCGGCGGAGGGGCTGCGGTTCTGGCTGCGGCACCTTTCCCTCCGGCTCCCCGCTGCCGCTGATCCCAACGCGGATCGTCCTGCCTTCCGTCCTGCACTTTTTCCTGCGGACTTGCTCCTCTTCTGCCGCCTTGGAGACACTTTCGGCCCTGGCTCGCTCTTCTTCTTCTTCTTCTTCTTCTTCCTCCTCCTGCTGCTCCTCCCTCCCCCTGCGATGCCTGCCTGACGGCGTGCACCATCTCCTTAAAAGGCGGCCGACGCCGCGCCGCTCTCCACCAGGGTATATTAGCAGCGCGGACTTGATTTGGGACGAAGGCTGCGCTGGAGCTGCGCAGCGCTGAATGAACGCAGAGAGAGGGAGGCGGGCGAGAGGGAGAGGGAGGCGCGCGTACACACGTCGCCCAAAAGGGGACGGAGGGAGGGACCTCTTTGCGTTTCCCTGGGCAAAGTGAGCCGCGCTTCGGCCGCCGAGCTCCTCCCCACCTGACCCTCGACGACAGCGAGTGAGCTCCTTCCCGCCCAAACCTGCCGGGCTCTGCACTTCAAGGCGCCGGCGGGAGCAGCCACGAGGTCACTCGCGGAAGTAACTCCGGCGCGCCGCCGACTGCGGAGCGGAGTTGTGGTTGCCCAGCAGCGTGGCAAGCCCGTGGGGCGGGTTGCCGAGGACACCCCACTTTTCGGGGACCAGCCGGGAGAGCCCGACCCGCCTCAGGATCTGGAGCGAAGCCAGCCAGCCAGCTGGGAGCTGAGGAGAAGAGGATGGCGCCGTAACTCCGCGCCCCGCCGCGCCCCGGCTCCGCGCTCGCCCGCCCGCTCGCTTTTCCCTCGCCGCCGCCGCCGCGCAAGCCGAGAGCAGCGTCGCTGGGAAGGCACGCCGAGGACCGACACCATGCCCGGGCTCGGGAGGGCTTCCGCGGGGCTCCTCGCCCTCTTCTGGGCAGGTGTTTGCCTCAGCCTGGTGGCCGTGGCCGGCTCGGAGCAGCAGATCCCCTTGGCTGTGTAAGTGTCGCAGGGAGAGCGGGGTGGCCGAAATGGGTTGGCATGGATGGCTCCTTGTTTCTCCCCCACCCCGAAACATCTTCCTGCCGTTTTGATTTGGGGCTGCGGGAAACGGAGCTTTATTTCTTATTATTTCCCAAATTTCCCTCCGCGGGGGAACTTGGGGCCGGCAACTGGCCGGACACGCTCGACTCGCTCCTCGCCCGCAGTCCCGCTTCAGCCGAGGAGCTCAGGGACAAGCGAATAAACACAAATACGGAGCTCTTGACAAACGCCGCCGACGCCGCCGCTGCTGCTGCTGCTGCAGAGCGAGGTTTTGTTTTGATAAAGTTTCATCTCCGGCAAGTTTGACGAAAGAGGCCTCCCCACTCCCCTCGCCTTGCCTAGTGGAATAGCTCAACGGGGAGGGGGGTTCAAACTGAGAAAGTGCACCCTTCCTGCTTTGAAATAACAAATAGTTTTGTGGCACCTGGAAGACTAAGCTAATGTCTTGTGGCTGTGAGCTTCTGTGGACCACAGTCCGCTTCCCCCGAGGCGCGCACTGTAGTCCTGAGCTGCAGGTATATATGTGAGTTGCAGCTCAGATTGTGAGTGGAGTGGTGGTGATGTTGTTGTTGTTGTTGTTAACTGTCATGCATTACTACATTTGCCTCTGTTCCGCATTTTAATTCTTTCTCTCTTTGCAGTGTGAAACTCTGGGCCTCTGCATTTGGTGGGGAGATCAGATCCATCGCAGCGAAATACTCAGGTTCCCAACTTCTGCAGAAGGTAAGGATCGCTTCAGGTGTACGCACCGGAGGGATGGATTTAGTGCTGAAAATGGAATCCGGTTTGGTACCCTGAAGAAACAGGAATGACATCTTTCAGTCAGAGGAGATTCTCCGCTCCTCCCCTCCCTCCACACTTTTAACTGCCTGCTGTCTTTTTACACACTGCAGAGACTATAGACTTCACCGTTCACTGGTTATTTTTAGATTACTCTCCCTTTCTTAAACGGAGCCCACCCAGATGACTTTGTCTCTCTGTGGTGGAGCTATTTAGATTTAGAAGTGTGCCTGGCTTTTGTTTTGCTTCCTAGGTGGGGATTATGATGTTAGCAGCAGTTTTTCTGTGTAAACACACATGCACAAACGTGCGCGCGCACACACACACACACACACACACAGTTCAGTCAAGAGGTACAAAAACCGGGCAAATTTTATTTTGCTCTCTCTGGCTGTACTTCGTTGCAATGGGTGGGGGGTGGGGGACCCGAAGGCTTGACTATTGTTTGTCATCTCTGCAGTTTTTACAATCCTATTATTCCTCCAATCATCTCAGGCCAGTGCTGGGATGTATTACATCATTACAGATAAGGAGAATGAATGTGGTTATCTTCCTGCTCAGCTGCACAGCTGGGTAATAAGCTTGTGAAGTAGTGCAAAAACTTGAGAAATTGGGCTAAGTCTCCATAATTCTGGAGAGTAATGAGAATGGAGAATAGATTATTAGACCTTTTATAGATTATTAGAGCTTGCATCTGGTCTCATTTAAACATGCAACCTTATATTAAAATCCTGCTTTCAGATAACCTGTGTTTAAATATAGCTGTTGATGAATTAAAAATAAATGAGAAATCCAGGCCGGTGGTAAGTTGAAAAAGGGCTCCGGGGTTGCAGTTCCGCATGATTTGAAGACATGAGCTTTCAAAGTGAAATTCAGCTACCCAGATGCAATTTTTAGAGCTTGGATTGAAATGATTCAATGGACCAAGTTAAACTTTAAATAGATTTTTTTAATAAAAAAACCCAAATAAATAAGATTTTGCTCCGCACGAAGAATGTGCTGTGTATTTTGCATGGTAAGGGTTAGTGCCATTCAAATCAGTGAATTGAAACAGTTTGCTATTGATAAGACTGTCCTTGCTCCTGTGTTGCGTTGGTAAGGCAAAGAAACTTTTATGCTTCACTAATTACCGTTAGTGCAGTAAACCTAATGGCTGTTAAAGAAACATAACAACTGAGCAGAAAATACTCTTCCTCTCAATGTTACTTAGTATTTGAAAATGGAGATTTTAAAAAAGTATAACAGTTATGGCAGAACACAGTTCTGGGCCTGAAGTCATTTGAAATATTTCCAAATTATTTAAGCTTTTTTATACACTAAAGTGGAATACTCAGCATTTATTAAATAATGCTTCCTTCACTGACAGAATTTTTCTGTGGATACTGTGTAAAAACACCCCTTCCAGTTTTTTGGTTTTTTTTAAAGGGATGATATGGGTAAATGCCTAAAAACAGCATATACTGGCTTCCTAATCTTCTTAAAATGTACTTTTAAAAAAGAGTTATTATCCAAGATATACAGTCCTTAATTTTGGAAACCCCTTTGGCTCAGAATCCTTGTATAAAACGTGGTCTCTTGCCATTTTCCAAAAGTTGCATAGAAAAATAAGGACATAAGAGTTCTGAAATGCTATTCTTTGTAATAACTCCTCATCTGCTTATGGTAGATTATTCTGAAATAAAGAATATTATCTAAAGTAGTAGGATACCTTCCTATTGGTTGCTATACTGCAGTGTAAATAATCGGAAGCTACCACAATGCTCATTTTACATTCTCTTCATCATCTCTCAATTGCACTGGCAGTACTGTGTTCCTCTGTCTGCATCTTGATAATTGTGTATTTAATTCCCATCTGGCGGGTTGTTGTTTTTTTAAAAAATAAATATATTGTGTTTTGGTTTGAAATACCATAACTAAATGAAACAGGAAACACCAATGCTGATAGGATGGGCACTTCGAGCTGTACTACTGCGAATGTCTTTAAGCTGTCCTAGCATTTGGGTGGCATTATTATTATTATTATTAGGATTCTTAGTGTATTTTAAATTTTGACTTCGCGTCTGTATTGTAAGCTATGCATTTCTCTGTAGAACTGGAGCTTCAGGATTGTGTTTCAAATATTTGTCTTTGCAATAGCTTATATTTTTAACATTGTTGAGACAAAGGCATACCTGGTGTTTTCATTTTCAGATGTGTCAAAGTTGTGGGGGAGGGGGGACAGTTCAAGGCATAAACAATAATATTTAGTCCACTGGAACAGTAGTAATCCAGACAGTTAGCTAGATGACATCATTGCACCATCCCAGATGTGAAACCCCTTCCTAGTGTCTGGCTGTGAAGAATAATCCATTTGGATGTTGAGATAGTAGTGAATTAACCCAAATGCTACTGGCTTTCATCTCACCTACCAACTGCCCATTGTTGCGTCTCTATGAGTAAAAAGATACTGATGATGAGAGTAGAAACAGTGAAATTCTAACATAAGTCACACTCAAGTGCCATTGGAAGACAAAAATTAGTAAGGTGACACCCGTGGACATGCAGTAAGATTCTCATGGTAACAAAGTATTAATCAAAGTGCCGCATAAGTGTACAAGTAGTATCGTGAATGGTGTTTTTGTTTTTGTGTTCCATTTGCAAAAAGACAGAAAAGGGGCTCTGCGGGATCAAAATTTAGTTTGCTTTTAATCCCAGGTATCCTGTTTCATACTTGGTTTCACTGGATAATTTGCATTTAATTTTGGATGGAAGGATAATAGAATATTTCCCAAGGCAAAGCAAAGGAATCAGTTACAGTGGACAGTGACATGAGCCATTACTCTGCAGTACTGCAGCCACCAAATGCACTAGAGTAGAAGCATTGTAGAGTGTACACATGCTATGGGCACCTTATTTAGTAGCCTGGAGCAGCGTGCATAGGAAACCCGCACCTGCCTTTTGGACCGATGTTACAATGCAAGACGTAGCTCTTCAAACCTTGACATACCTGTTTGGAAAGAAGTCCCATTGGGTCACTAGATTTGACTTCTGCTTCACAGTACTTAAAATCAAAGCCTAAGCTGAATTACAAAGATGCAGGACTCTGGATTGGTGCCGCAAGCCCAGTTCATTCCAGTGAAGCCTGTGATGATGATGCACTTGTTTTGGACAGGGCTGTTCTGTTCTGCACTCTGCATTGTGTTCTCTGTGTGGCCTAAATATGGTGTTGTTACCCTCCCAGCCAATGCAAGGGTCATTTAATTTTTGTTCCTCTGTGCCTTTCGATGAAATCTTAACGTATTCATAATCTCATTCTTTTCAGTAATAATTCAAGAGAGTCTGCTTCCAGACAAATAAGGATATTTCCCCATACAGGATGAATAGTTGGTTTGAGTGTCTTTCATTTACCTTTAAGGGAAACGGAGCTGTTCTTCCTGCAGTATAGTAAATGGGAGGGGGAAAAACCACAACACTGTTTCTTTGATATGGCTGATCTTCCCAGTTCCTATGCTGGTTGTCATGTAAATTTTGCACTGTAAAGGAAATTGTCTGTATGCTTCTGTAGCGGGAGGCATATTCTTCACTTCATTAGCAAACACTGGGGTGGGGGGCATGGTGGTAAACTTGGATTTAGCTCCAAATATATCCAACTTGCCCATTTGTAATGAAGTTTAGAGGAGGGGTTTGAATGGTCATGATTTTATCTGCACCTTGGAAAAGTGTTCCTTTTCATTTTCTAGGCTGGCATACTGTAAACAACCATATTTGCCAAATATCACACATAATTCACCGAATACACCCATTCATTGCAGTTGTGCTTACGCTGGTGAAGTTCCTGTACTTTTTGTGGTTGCAGATTATTTGAATGACAATAAAAGCCTAGTACAATACTTCACTATAAAAGGTGGCATTTTTACATCCCAGATTAAAGGCAGGGTTTAAAGGTGTGAGACCATGTTTTCTTCTACGGTGGGACCTGCTGAATCTTGAAATCTGTTTGCGTTCTAAAGTTTTATCATTGTTAAAGTTATCCATTAACAATAGTTGCTCTTGTTAGATATAGTAAGCTATAGTGTACCTATAGCAATTGTTCACAGAGATACAAATTTCTGCCTTTAACTTAAAGAACAATGTAAATGGAATGAGAACACCCAAAATTTCTTTAATTATGCAGCCTATTTCCTGAGATGTCAATTGTAGAGGTTTACACACATGCATGTCCTAATGGAATTTCTTGGGCTTGAATTAGAAACTCCCCCTTATTTTTTTTATTAATTTTTATTATCTGTAGTATAAGCATAGGCAATACCTTTAATAAAATGACTCACTATTTAAAGAACAATATATTCTGCTCCTTTTCATACTATGGAGCTTATACTTTAACAGCACCATTCATTAATAATTTGCATCAGGGACTTTTCATTTCTGATTGCACACGGAAGAGATATATGCTTTTCTGTGGTCTTTTCAGGTCTTCCTTAAGTATGGTGTTCGCTTAAACCTAGGTCTGCACTGCAGGTATCTGTCTGGTGCAGGCGTTGGCTTACATTGCTGACAATGCATTTGCTCTTGGTTATCTGATACGTCCAGGGCATTATAAGCACAAATGAATTCACATGTATAGGACTCTTCTAGGGCGAGTGGGCTGTCACTGGGGATGCATGGACCACATCTATCATCATGCTAGGTTTGCATCCTCTTTCTTTAAAAAGAAATGCAGATGAGAACTGTGCATTCACAGTAATGATTATGTCTGCTTTCTGTGTTATTTCTCATCATGGAGAATTGTTGAGAGAAGAATTGTGCCAAGTGTATTCAAGGTTAAAAATAAGAAAGAATACTCTTTTTTCCCATTGAATCCTGCAGCTGAAGTGGATCAAAGCAACCGTCATAATATTTGAATAACAGCATTTCTAGCTACACACGCTCTTGAAGTTTGGTATGTTGTTGAGGTGGATTCCCCCCCCCCCCGGCCACCACCCCATAAAAACATGGCGGCTGTGCAGATGGAGGCCACTGGTTAGCTGATACAGGTTTGGTGCATTTCACAAATGAGACAAGGTAGGTGCCTCAAAGTGGTACGGCTCACCTTGTCTAGAAATGCTTGAGATGATTCTTCCCAGTGAGTCTGCTATCTACTATTTTAACTTCTTTCTCTTACAGTATCTACAATATGGCAGTGTCAATCCCTCTTGATCTCAGATCTGTACCCTTCACCCCTACCCCATTCTACTGGGCATAGAGACCATGGGAGTTTGTACAAAGACTGGATCCAGAACAGAGCCTATTGAAGAACTGTACATAAAGAGTGTCACACGTCAAGGGGGTGGTAAGGGAGTAGCAAAGCTGTAGCAAAAGAAGGATGGCATATTTGTGAGAACGTGACAAAGTGTGACTGCGTGTGCGTTTGAGCATGTGAGAAATGCTTGTAAAAGTAAGGAATTCTTCACAGGCAGTTTGTACTACGCGGGGTACTTGAGGAGTAGTTGAAGAGGAAATGTCAGGGGAAATGAAAATTACACCTGCCAAGAGGGATAAAAGTACTTGGTTGCTTAGAAGGAATATTAACACCTAAATGGCAAAAAATGAAAGAAATGCGGGACAAAAATCCAGAGACGGCAGGTGAAAGGATTACCACAGAGTGGTTCACTTCTGAGTCCCGTTCTCTCCCAACCCTGAGAAAACCAGAATGCCATATCAGGGAAATAAGGCAAACCTATGTTTTAAATAGATGTTTTTTAAAACAGCTCTCTTGAATTTGCTCTTCCAAAGAAAGTGGAGCAGCCAGTGAGGCAGGTGGCATTGTTTGAGGGTGTGTGCTATGTTTGGTGGTAGGGTGAACACTGGTAGTGCCACCTCATCCCAGGATTGGAACCTGACTAGCTGGTTGGGAACAGAAGCTTCCATGGCATGCTTACTTAAGAATGTGCAGGAGGCTGATCTGCAACAAAATATTCTCCTACGAAACAAGAGGCCCTGTGGATCTGGTGTGAAAAGTGGTTTTTTAAATGAATTCAGGTCTCACCTCCATTAGTTTTGTACATTTTAGAGATGTGTGGTAGACAGACTAATAAAATAAGTCATGCAAGACTGCACCGTGAGTTCAATGCTGAGATTTTCTCTTGCCCGGTACGATGCAGAAGTAGGTATACCTAAATGAGACCAAGAAAAATACATAGATTTAAGCATACTTAACTCTGCATAGGGCTTCAGCCTCATGTTCAAGCTCAGTTTTTTATAATATTAGCATTGCTTTCATTTTTTGCTTCATTGTCCATGCAGATGTTTCGCTTAGGACAGCAATGGTATACAGTATAGGTACGCAGGGTGGCACCAGCATTTATATATAAGAGGATGGTTTAATTTTTTAAGAGGGTGTGTTTTGCATTCTTGTTGCATTCATCCCTTCAAGGTTTTGTGTTCTAAACTTGCCTTCTTTTTTTGGAAACCAAGGGTTGAGAGGTGAGACTATGCAGACTTATAAAAACTAGAGGCTTCAGATAAATTAACATTCAGCTAACACATCTGATTCACGCAGAACATCTATCTTTAGTTTTAAAATACATAATTGTTTCTTAAATTCCTCAATTTTTCATTTATATTGATCTAGAAAAAACGTGCCCCAGTCATCTTGACATTAATTGCTCTTCTTTCTCCTGTTCTTGGCATGCTTAGTTTTTCTTTCTTAAGTATTCCCCGCCAAGCTACTGCAGTTAATACTGTCATTACTGGGGGATGGGTCAGTAAGATTATGAGAGTTCCTACAAATTAAGGAAAGGCATGAATGACAGTCTTGTTGAGCTGCAGCTTTATTTTTATGACAGTTTTAGTCCATGACTTCAAGCCTCCAGTGCAGCAATCATGAAGATGCAAGTTAATAATGTTAAAAGAAAATACTATTGTCATTTTAAATATACAAGAATAAATAGTGTTAATCATGCTAATACCAAGGCGTAAATCCCAAGTATAAATAGTTTAGTATTTTGGGCTCAGCAAAAATCACTGTAGGATTACTGTTCAGTTAACATTAAAATCATTAACTAAATATACAAAAATATATGCAAGGATGCAAAATGCCTTCAATCATAGTCTCGGCCTTTGAAATTGCTTGTTTTCTCCATTTGCTTGCTAACTCCTTTTAATTATGCCATGTACTTAAGTAGCTTGGGCCAGGTTCTAAATAGTCTTTTTTAGGCTTGGGGTCTGCCCAGTGAAAAGTAGAATTTTCCAGACCAATGAACCTTATATCACAAAGCTGCTTTTCAACTTTCTCCCAACTTCAGAATCATAGTATGGGTGCTCATTTACTGATTCTTACTGAAGTCAATATAATTGATAGATTGAAAGATTTGCTATGAGCATTTATTCTGCCTGCATTATGTGTTTGTTTATTCAATTTCATACCTGCCCTTTAGCTGGTAACACTTGAGCTCAGGATGAGGTACATGGGGACTAACCAGACCCTCACCTGCTCAGCTTTAGTGAGGTGGCCACATCATGTACGCAAAAGCCATGCCCCAGACTACAAATGCATGCTTTTCATACAGTAGTCACATTACAGGTGTTAGAGGGCGAAAGTACCTCTTCGCACAATGCATAATTAATTTATAGAGCAACACAAAATGTTGCAATAGCTTTAGAAGGTGTGTAACAGAACAACAAGTGGAAGAATTAGTGACAGAGTGCACTGGAATGGTGGATAGAGTCAGATGGAATGACAGGTTGACATTTAGGAAGAGTGGCTATGGAGAAAGACTGAAGATTGAGTGAGATTAGAAAGAGTGGAGGCATAGGTAAAAGGCTGGGAGTTAGCCTGCTGTTAGTGGAGAGCCAAGTATATTTGGTGAGGAGATCAACACCTTTATTTGTATTCCTTTATTTACCAAATGACTCCATGTTTTGATTGCTGTTTTCCATAAATAAATATATGCATTGCTTTTTTAAGTTTATAGAATATGTTCTGGTCGGGGTGATTCTAGGTTAGTGGTAGGACTGGTTGGTAGGATGGGGCGGCAATGCATCATGAGCTCCCTGACCGTGGCATCACTGCCATGTACTGGGGCAGAATTGGTCAGGGTGGCGGCAAACTGAGGGTGGCTGCAGCCCTGTCCCAACACCACTCCAGTAAGTGGCAACAGTGCTGCTGTCAGGAGGCCATTGCCTCTGGCTATTCCTTATCAGATCTCACTCCAGGTTCTGGCTTTGAATTACACAGCCATGGAAATAAAAGGAGAGCCCTTCTTGTCTCTCTAAATCTGTAGATAGCGACAGTAGAGAAGTCTGGACCAAATGGACTAGCTGAGCTAGTGGTGGTGAACCGTTTAGAGATCAAGTGCCCAAACTGCAACCCAAAACCCACTAACATATTTTGTCTTAAAAGAAAAACACAGTAACGGAGCTTTCAATCATACAAACAACTTTTGTATTGAGCAGTAAACGTTTGCATTATCCTTGTTTGGGAAATCATGAAAAAGGGAATTACTCCCAGACAACATGGCCGTTTTGATAATTTCCCGTCAAGAAACTCTTCTTTGGGTGATTTCAAAGCAGAAGCTGAATGCCCATCTGCCATGGATGCTGTAGTTGTGATCCCTGCATCGCAGAGGGGTTGGACTTAGATGACCCTCGGGTTATCTTTCAACTCCCCACAATCCTATGAAAAAACCAAAACAGTCTCCTTTGCCCTCTGCTGTGTATCCCCTAGCAGGGAGGATCTTGCACTTACCCATGGCAATGGGAGAGAGTTCCGCTCAAAAGTTTGCTTCCTGGTCTGGCCAAGTAGGTGAAAGGAAATCCCGGAGTGAAGCCCAGAGACGCGTAGTGGTTCAGCGCTCCGCTGCTGTCAGTCACAGCCTGGAAGGGAGGCGCCCCAGCACAGAGTTTGTAGGGGCAGCGCGCATGCCAAGTAGAGTCATGCATGCGTGAGTAGCCAGTTTGCTGCCCACAGGCTGCAGTTAAAATGTGAACATTCCATTCCGCTGTCTTAAAGCGCCTTGGTGCAGAACTGTCAGTAAGCCCGGCGGCATTTTGCTTCCTCCTGCATGAGCGGGGTTAGAAGTGCAGCCCAGCGGGCTAACCATCGAATCATAGGATTGTCGGGGGTTGGAAGGGGCGACGCTGCATGTTCCCACAGAGGCTCTGAGTGCCCCCTCTGGCACACATGCCATAGGTTTGCCACCACTGAGCTAGGCGATTGTTCTAGTGACCTCCCTGGACCAGGGCCTTTTAGAGAACCCCTGAAGTATCACAAGGGGATTAGTCTTTCCCTGGCCATTAGGTGTGATCAGGGCTGGCCCAAAAGGTTGCGCTGCCCATAGCAAAGGACAAGATGGAGCCCTTTCCCATTCCATGTATAAACCTGGAAGGGACTAGCGGTTGAAACTTCCGTACTGGTGACAGGAAAGCATCCCCCACCATACCTGAGAGCAGGGCACAAGGCAGGCTATGTGGTACATACAGAACTGTCCTCCAACATCTCCTTGGCACTCAGTACCTCCTCCCTGATACAACCACCTCACTCTGTCTCATGGTAGGGCATGATCGCTTTGTGGTGAGCCTTAAAGAAAGGCCACTCAGTAAGCTGCAGGTCTGAATAGGAATTTTCATCTGGTTTTCCCACATTTAAACCCAAATACTGATTCCTTTTGTTTGGAAGCTTTCTTGATTCCTTTCGAAAGTCTCCAGAGCTTTTGGAAAAAGTCATACAAGATCTGGAAGCTTCTCTATGGTCTGCATTAGCCACCAGTTGACAGAGACTAATTGTATTCCGCTCTACCTCCTAATTTCTTATTATTATTTTCATGGATTTCAGCTTGTTTCTTGAGATGTGTGATCCTGAACCATGTAATCTGTGTTTGCTTCAGTGTAAATGTAATATTGTTTAGATTTCTTTTTAACTGAAAGAAAAAATAAATGTCATTTCAAGCCATTTGGTGCTTACTCACCTCAGTGTTGTCTCACCCTGCTACTTTCACTGCATTTTGCATGCATGGGATGATCCCATTACTTTTATGATTAAATGTGAAGTGCTCTGCCTTTGATATGTGATTTGATATGTGATGGAAATATGAGATGCCTTCAATTCATTTATAGCACATTCATATTACGTTTTCAATAAAAAGTCTCTTAATATAGAAATTTTAAGTGGATGATCCAAAGAGAATACATTAGCTTTTTTTTTATTTCAAGAGCTAATTTTCTTCTATAATTCATCTATAGCTGGTTTTGTTGTCTCACATCCTTTTTGGGGGTCGAGGGGGGGGGGAAGAGACAGAAAAAGAAAAAACCTTTCATGTTCAAGGGATCTGGCCACATTGACATAATTAAAAATTACAGTCCAAAGATCATCAGAACCCGTAAATAAACCCCAAACATCTCCCAAAGCAAGCTGTTTCAATACCACAAAATTTGAGAGCAGGAAATGGTAGCTTCCTCATTTTATATCTTAACATTGCTTACACACAAGCCATCTCTTACTCAGGTGGTAAACCTGCATCATTAGTATGTAAAGTGTGTAATGAAATGCTAGTATGTAATGCCTGCATGTAAGCTGTTTTCCTGAGGGGGGAAAAAAGCCTCAAGTAGATTATATATTTTAATAATTATCTCTTTTAAACCGAGGAACACAAACGGTTTTTCGAATCCAAGTGGTGTAGTGGTTAGAGCACTGGATATGGGTGGCGAGGGTTCAAATTCCTACTCAGCCATGCAAGTTGCTGGGTGACCTTCGGCTGATCATCGCCTCTTAGCCTAACCTACCTCACAGGGTTGTTGTGAGGATAAAAGATGGGGAGAAGCACCTTGAGATCCTTGGCTATAAATGTAATAATAAGAAATACATGTAAATTTGTTTTTTATTCATTTTCTGTCCCGAGTTTCTCTGGGTATCTTAGCCCTTTTCAGACATTATACGTAACAAGGACTGACTTATCCAATGTGCCCCTGCTCAGACACTAGGATTGTCAGGGGAGGCCCACTTGTGTGTTCCAAAATAGTCCCCAAATAGATGACCTTCTATCACACTGGGAAGGACTTCCTGTTACCGTGGTCTTACTGGCTTGCAGCAAACAGTTTTCTGTTAGAAGGACTCCTCTATTTGAAGGTGTACAAATCAAGTTTAAAGGCAAAGGTTCCCAAGAAAGGAAAGCAGGAGAGGCTTTGAATTGGCAGTCAGCATATGGACAGTAGACAGAGAAGGTGAGGAGAGAGGGAGTGGCCCATCCCGGGGGGGGGGGCTGCCATCGCAGCAGACACGCGCCACTTGCTGTGCACCCTGTGATGCACAATGCGTGCCCTGTGACGCATGTCACACACCCCGTGATGCATGCCAGCCATGCTCCCGCCTGTTCCCCGCTCCGGGTGCTGGAGCATGTCGCTCCTCCACTGGACAGGGGCGGGCACACGTCACTAGGTCACAATCTTACCTGCTATGTTTAGTTGTATTTCCCTTCAGTTTACAGCATTTCTTTCTACATTTGCATTAACATATAAATTATTCTTAATGTTTCATCTATGTATAAATTATATTTAAATATGCTCCTACATAGAAAAAGGCATATTGCCCTACTTTCTGAAGGCACTTCATTTCCTCTTTTGTAGCAATGTGTTAGTGACCCAACTACCGTATTTTTCACTCCATAAGACGCACCAGACCATAAGACGCACCTAGTTTTTGGGGAAGGAAAATAAGAAAAAAAATATTATGAATCCTAGAAGCCAGAACAGCAAGAGGGATCACTGCGCAGCGAAAGCAGCGATCCCTTTTGCTGTTCCTGGCTTCTGGGATAGCTGCGCAGCCTGCATTCGCTCCATAAGACGCACACACATTTCCCCTTACTTTTTAGGAGAGAAAAAGTGAGTCTTATAGAGCAAAAAATACGGTACATCCTTTTTAGGAGGGCTTTGGGCCTGTGGTAGCTTTACTGAATCCTACTGGCTTTCCTCGATTGCCTCTCCAGTGGTGCTATATCTTGTTCTGGATTTTACTTGTACTGTCTCTCTCTATGATGATTTGAATGATGTTGGGTTTTTTGTTTTTTGTTTAAATCTGTTTCTTTCTCTTATTAATTCCTTTGGATTCTTTTAATGCTTATCTTTGCTGTTCTTGCTCTTCCTTTTTGTTTTTATCTAGTGCTTGCTGATTTATTTTTTAAAAAATGGTTTTAATTGTATTTTTATTTTCTTGTGAGCAGCCTTGAACTTTTAGGAAAGGCAGGAAATAAATAAATAAATAAATAAATAAATAGGTAAAGATGAGTATAGAATTAATGCTCTAGAAGGGCAGCTCTACCTTTGACCTTTAGATGTTCCTTAAAATAGAGCATCCGCATGTATAAGTGGGGTCCATGTTCAGACATTATAATGAATAGGTCAGGACATGGAGCCTGTGGCGCTGATGGATGTTAATTCTGTATGCATATCACATCTGAAAAAAAACACCTTGGTTGACAAGCTTAAGTTGCCAAAATTGGGTTTTACATGTTTTAAATGGTTTCACCTCAGGCAGGTAGGCACAGAAATGTGAACAGCTTTCACTTTACACAGATATGTGAACTTCTAGTATCTTGAAACTTCCTAATCTTGACATTAATCTTTCCCAGTTTGTTGAGCTAGAACCATCGTTATTCCTAGGAAATACGGGATAAAATATAATGTATCATTTTGCCTGTATAGATGCAATCTTTATACGACTAAAAGTTTACTTTGGTTACGTTAGCATAATACTTCTCATTTCAGTAAACAGAAGATGCAAGTGTTAAGTCATGCGCAAGGGCTCCAATTTGCTGTATATTTCAGGCTCCGTGTTTTCAGCATATGATTCTTGTAATTCAATTTGGACAAATGTTTCAGTGTTTCTTATCTGTGCCATTGTTCCATCTCCATTTCTTCACTGTCAAGCTCCTCTTTTCTTTTATAGTTAATTTTTAAAAGCTGATTTTACCCATACCCATCTATTCCCCGAAGAGTCCTTACTAATAGAAGGTGGAAGGTGGTTGTCTCCTATAAAATGTTTCACACCACAGCAGAGTTTTTGGAATGTATATATTCAGCATACATTTTTTAAATTAAAAAAAACAAAACCCTTTCTCATCACCTCAAAAGGAGGAAGCATATGTGCATGGGAACTGTGTGAAAATTAGTACTGGGACAATGTGTTGGGGGGCACAAGGTGTATGCAGATCCCCAAAGCTGTAAATGGCATTATCATTACACATGATGAGGTTGTTGTTGTGAATGACCATCATTCATGGGATATCAAAGTTTGATGCAGTGGCCCAGGTACAAAATAATGGTAATTCTTGGAGACATGTGTCAGGCTTAATGATTGTGAACGTGAGCATTTTGTCCGGAATCTTACCTGGGGGCAAACCTAGAAAAATTTGAGTGATATAATCACTGCTCAGATCTCCCTAACCCTAGTGGAGAGAGAAAGAACAAGTGGGAATATGTGTTGTATTCCTTTTTTCATTGGGCAGGATAGCACCATTCAGGATAACACTTGTCAGTGGTACACCCATTCTCCTGTCTGTGTACCAGGGAAAAGGCTCAAAAGTCTGTGGAGTGTTGATTGCTTCCTTATCAAACTAGCAATCTTGAAAAGACAGAATTCAGATGACAGCACTGCTTTTGCAAACTAGTTCAAATTACAAACGTTCCAAATCTTGTATAGTTTTGCTAATGTTGCTGCTGTTTGGCATCCATTTCTTTTCTGGCATCTTCTTCTCTGCACTATTTTCCTTATTCCTGTTTTCCCCTCCAGTCCTTGGCCTTGCTTGTTCTCATCCTCAGTGTCCAGACTGAAGCTTAATGCAGTTGGTGCTGGCAAACCACATGATTTTGTTTATAAGCATTTGGTACTCTGGGATTATAGTGCCACTGTATTCTGCTCTGGTCAGACCTCACCTGGAGTACTGTGCCCAGTTCTGGGCACCACAGTTCAAGAAG